GGATTCTGAGGTATCTCTGCTCCCAGTAATTAAAAAATTCCCTTGTTCTTGTTTTAGAAGTGCCTATTCCTTTAAGAGTAAGGAACGTGCACCAAGCTCCCACTGAGGAGATCCCTCCTGCCACCAATTCTTCCTCTCTCAACATTCAATGATTTCTTTCCTCGGCATATGAGTGCCCAAATCAACTCAAATGGCTGATGGCCCCATAACAATGCCCCCAACAGCAAGTTGGAGAAGAAGACTTTGAGGGTGTGTTGCACCAAGTGCTGTGCTTGTCAAAGTCAACAATTGGTGTGGTGGGGATCATTAATCTAGAGCAAAGAGAAGCATTGGATGACGCTGGTCTTGACGGCATTGAAGGGCCTTCCGACTGCTGGTCTCAAATAGAAGTTGCTGTTTTACCTTAAGTACTCAATGTACCATGACTTGGCCAAGTCGACTTGGACTTGGCCAAGTTACTCGCCCTCGACGATAGACCGAGGCTGAGTAAGGGCGAGTTCATTGTACACCTTGTTGGAAACGTGGATGTGTACAATGCTTGGGGGAATGCACTGTGCACTCGGCTGAGTACTTTAGGACTTAGACCAGCTGAGTCTTAGTGAATCCACCCTACTGTGTCTGCAGGAGACATCTTAGCAGCCCTTGAACTACATTTTTTGCTCAATTAAAAACTTGCCAAATCACCAAATTGATCTAGAAGCTTTAGTTTGGATTAAAATCTGGCGTTTTTTAGGAGTTTGCTGCAACAAACCCTATCTTCTTGAGCCGTATCTGCCTTTTTCTAGATCTGTCATAATCTACTCATCCAAATCTCTTGAAATTAGATTATTGTGAACCTCTTTGTATCTTCTATTGATTTCTTATCTAGATTTATTCGGGCTCGAAAGTCAATGTACTATTGTAATACACAATGTTCTTGAGCCATGTTTGCCGCTTTTTAGATTTCTCATCATTTTCTTATCCAAATTTCTTGAATTAGGGTCATTGTGAATCTCTTTTAATCCTCTATATATTTCTCGATCTAAATGAAGTTGAAAATTTACTAGGCATAATAACTTGCAAAACAACTGTGTTTAGAGAGAAAACTAAAAAAATAGAGAAGAAATCTGTAAGATAACGCGGGCATAGGAGTTCGAATCCTCCACCATGCACCACCAGAATATAGAAAAGAAAAGCCCACAAAAAGAGCTCTCTCACTCTCTCTCTACAATAAGCTTCTTTCACTAAAAAATTAATCCATCCCCCATTACAATTCATATGCTCATTTTCAAAAGAGTTTGATTTCACATACCTATAGATAACTACTAAAAGAAGATAACTACCAAAAGACTATTACTTATTCCACAACTAATGCAACTCCTACCCACACCACTTTTAAAAAAATGCTCATTTCCTTTTAGCTAGCTAAAAGATAACTACGTTGTCATGACATTTTCTATTATCGCATGTCCTTATGATACGAGATAGGCCTCCTTCAATTGATGGAATCTCTTTCTAAACCTCCTGAAATATCTCCTTACTAAATAACCAAAATTGAAAACTAACCAATATTAATCTATCTTTAGATGTTTCCATCCACGTCCCAACCCAAATGATAAAACCCATCCAATATAAACCTTTCTTAAAAGGCTCATAAATAAATAAAGACAAATAGACCTAAAGAAAAGACCTATCTTTTTTAAAAAGGCTCATAAATAAATAAAGAAAAATAGACCTAAAGAAAGACCTATCTTTTCTTAAAAGGCTCATAAATAAATAAAGAAAAACAAACTTAAAGAAAGACTTATCTTTCCTTAAAAAAATGAACGGTTATTATCTTAAAAAACAAAACGTGCTAAAAAATTTTGATTTTTATCAAACTAACCTAAAAATCCTATTTTTAACCATTAATCCTAAAAAAAAAAATTAAAAGTCTACTGATATTTTTTAAAACAAAATTAACAAATATAAAATTAAAATTTTGTAGAAACCAGATCTTAATCTGCATCATTCTTCTTTGATTGGAAAAAACCTGTATTCGAGTTTTAAAATGCGTTAAGATTAAATTTGTATTAGTCGCGCAACCTTCTTTGACCCAAATATTATAAACATGATCCTAGAACTTGTGGGTTACTGTACTAATCAAAACACAATGATAGTACACTGAAATTGAGAAACCCTTGAGGTATGAGTTGTATATCCATAGAAATTGTTTATGCTCAGCCCTACAACACGATTAGGGAGCATTTTCGAGATGAGCGCTATCAATGAAAGAACTAAATTCACTTATCATTTCTCCTTTCAGTCCGTCTTTTTTTTTTTGTCAAGTATTTTCATAGGCTCGATCTCTTCTAGGTTCGGGTCGTTATTTTACTTATTCATCTCTCCATTGATGAGAAAGTTAGATATCTTTACTGTCTCAATGCCAATTTCTCTCCTTTTGTCTTGTTCTTCATCAAATATCGGACTTTCATAAATAATGGGTCATACATGGCATCAAGGAATGATGATTCCAATTGAATATCTAAACCTACTTCTTTTTCACCTTCAACTAGATCTTCATCAAACCTTAGTAGATACCTCTCATGACCACGAGGCTCTCGATACGGAGCATTCACATAGAATGGGACACAAAATAATCAGATTCACTGCCATCATAATAGTGTGTCAGGGCTGGGTGAATTCCTCTTCTTGCCTTCTCAGATTTTTTATATCTATATGTCAGAGGTCTCATTTTCACTGAGCTCATTTCAGATACCCACCAAAGATGTCCACGAGCTATGATGTCTATCGATGAACACCATAATCCACAAGATTTGAATGAAGCTCCGATACCACTTCATGCGGTCGAAAAATTTATCGGCAATAATAACCAGCAAAATAACCACGTTTTGGAGAGAGAAATAAAAAAACACAAATCCTCTACCATGCACCACCCGAGCACAAAAAGAAAAACACACAAAAAAGAGTCTCTTTCACTCTCTCTATTAGAGGGCAAGCATAAAGGTATTTATTTGATTTATTTATTTATTTATTTGATTTTTTTTCATATGTATGATCAACTTGGCTTAGATGATGAATCTCAAAAATTTTAAATAACAAATTCATCTTTAAGATAATTTTAGAGGGGGCGCATGTGTACATCTGACTAATAGAAACCCATCCGTATTTCAATCCACCCTCCGGCAGACCAAATGTTTTCCTTATTATTATTGTTCCACCATCTTCCTTCTACATGGTTTTCTCTTCATTTCTTATTTAAATGGTAGCTAGGCTAAGTGAACAGAACATTTGCTAACTATATAGATAGCCCAAGGAAAGAGCTTAACATTTTATACTTCGGAAGATCTGTACCTTATCTTGAACCAAAGGCACAAAATATGTGTGTATTAACCATAGTGCCACTATATTTCTACCTGCAAATATAGTGTCGTAAAATTGTGCAATGTTGCAACTTTGGGCTTCTTACATTAAAATAAAGGGAAAATATTTTAGTATTTTTTATTTTAACTTTCATATCTCATCACAATAAAAAATTGAAAATATTATTTGTAAGTAAACAAACTCTATATTTTCTATTTTCAACCCCTTAAACCATTTTGACCATGTATTATTGACCTCAACAACTTATGAAATGACTATCTCTCTCTCTAAAACTCCATCTCTCTCACATCATCGTCTCTCTCTATCTCAAAACTCTATCTCTCTCTAAAATCCAAACTTCATCTCTCTCTGACATCATCGTTTCTCTCTCTCTCTCAACTCCATCTCTCTCCCTAAAACTCAAACTACATCTCTCTTTCTCTCTCCAAAACTCCATCTCCCTCTAAAACCCAAATTCCAACTCTCTCTCTCACATAAGAAGAAGTGCTCGTGTTCGAGCTCAAGCTAAACCCCTTGGCTGGTAAACTCACTGAGAAACGAAAAAACGAGAGATGGAGTATTAGAGAAAGCGATGGAGTTTGAATAGGGTGTCATTTTAGTATTTGTTTGGGTCAAAAATTTATGATCAAAAGGATCCAGGAAGTTGTAATATATAAAAGATAGAGACTTTTTGCTTACAAGTAGTATTTTCAATTTTTGGATCTCATGAGATATAGAAGTTAAAAATAGGAGATAAAGACGTATTTTTTCTAAAATAAATGAACTTGTTGCATACTTTCATTTTATTGATACAAATTTTGAATAGCATTTCCTTCCCAAGGTTTTTCTCCCCCTATATTTCATAAATTTGTATTTTTATGGAAGGCACTACTATGTATAGATATTTCAAAGTATTAAAACTAGTAAGAAAGTTCTATTATACAATATTCAAATTGTCCAAATTGTTTTGAGGGCCCTTTTTTTAATGTTTACGCATGCTATTCCAATTTAATACAAATATAGAAGCACCAACAATAGAGGCTTTACGTTTCTGAACCATAGGATTAAACATTAATCAAAGTCACAACGGACAAATTTTTCCGGTCCATACCATTGAAAAAAGGTGAGTGCAACGCTTATTGAAACGGCAGTTGACCCAGCTTCATTGCTTTTGTCTATAGCTGCATAGGCCCAATAGTTATTTTAAAAAAAGAAAAAGCAAAGAGAGCCTGCTTTCATTATCTAAAAGCAAAAAGTTAAAAAGGAAAAATTTATGTAAGGGTGAGGCCTAAACAATCAAATTAAATCAAATTAAAGGGTATCTCAAAAATTTATTAAAAACAGGGTTGTTTCGATCGTAAAAGACCTTTCAATTTCATCATCTGGATCTCAAGATGTACGGATATAACAAAAAATAGATTTTAAATATAAAAAATAATACATCCTGTAATATATTATCCAGACTTTCAATTTTCAAGATTTTCAAATACCTATATATCTACTCAATTTACATTATTTTTTAATTTTTAAATTTTATAATTAAAAGTAAAAATAAATTTACAGGTTATCTTAAAGATTTTTAGTTCTAAAACAACACGATTCGGCACTATTTGAAAGTACGTCTTACTTTAATCGATTAAGCCTCGGCCTTATACAAACCTCACCCTTATTCAAAAAAGATATTTTGATAGCGCCGCCTGTTTTGAACGCTACACTGTGAGCTATAAACAACATCCATTGCAGGTTGCAGAGAGAGAGAGAGAGAGAGAGAGACAGGCATGCATAAGCCACATGCAGTGTGCCTACCATTTCCAGCGCAAGGCCACATAAACCCCATGATGCAACTGGCGAAGCTACTGCACTCAAGAGGCTTCTACATAACCTTTGTCAACACAGAGTTTGTGAAAGACCGCCTTGCTCTGTTTCATGGAACCCAGTTCTCGAATGGGTTTGAAGACTTTAGGATGGAATCAATAGCTGATGGCTTGGCCCCCGAATTCGACAGGGTTTCAGATCTTGCAACCCTCTTAGATGCAAGTAGAAAGTACTGGTTGAATCCTTTCAGGGAACTTGTTTTGAAGCTTAATCAAACCGCGGGGATTCCGAAGGTGAGATGTATAGTATCGGAGTGGGTGCTTAATTTTAGTAAGGTGGTTGCAGATGAGATAGGGGTGCCTAGGGCTTCTTTGATCACAAACAGTGCTAGTAGCTGTTGGGGTTACCTGCAAATTCCGGATCTCATCCAAAGGGGAATCATCCCTTTCAAAGGTTTATCTCTCTCTCTCTCTCTAATGAAAAGTGTTTAAAAACAAATCTGTATTTCTTCCAACATAACCCCTCTCTTTGTACTTTGGAGGTTTTGCTCTTTTTTAATGAAAACTACTGTTAATTGTTCCAAAAAAACAAAAATCTCTCTCTCTATATCTCAAACAAAATGAAAATTGAAAACTAAGATCAAACACAGGCTTTTCTCTTCCAACATAATCTCTCTCCCTCTCCCTTAGTAAACAAAATAAAAAGTCAAAGACTGGTTCAAAAATTTGTATCGTGCATTCAGGGTTGCTATTTTGATTGTGTTGGTTTTGGAAGTGCCAGTTTTAAGTTATTGATAAACAATGACCATTTTTCCGTTGGAATGAATATTAAAGTCTGTGATAACATTTTCCATACCATCAGCTATGTCGGCCACAATTTTCTATCCAATAGGAACCACGTCAGGAGGATAATTGAAGCTTATATGAAAATTTTTATTTCACACCAATAGGTGCGGACGACAGCTGTTGAAATATAATAAACTATGCTTTTTTATATGGACTTGGTCAAGCCTGCATACGTAGAAATGCGGGCCTCTTAATAAAAAAATTTTTAAGATAGATTTTAAGACTTTATTTTTAGCAACAAGTAATCTTTCACATGGAGACAGTGAATATGAAAAAATAAATAAATTTAAAAAACTAAAAATAATAATTCTAATAAGAAAACATTTGAGCCGTTAGTTTCTGTTGATTTTAAATGTCATACCTTGCATCCATCTTTAAGAAGATGTTTTACATTCTTTGGTCCACATATGTAGAAATGCGATCCAGCCCGCAATTTTCCTTTTGAAATAGATATGGGGATTTTCACATCTCATGCTTGCAAAACTATCTCATATTTCCATCATGTTAGGTTGTAATTCTACTCATTTGTGGTTTTAAGATAGGTCACATGTTTGCTTGTCGATCAAAATGATCTTTACTTCCAGGATGCAACATCATAGCAAAGAAAGCCTTGTTTAAATATGGGAAAGCATTCTCGTCTAGGGCATCCATATATACCACTCTCTCCCGGTCAATTATTCTTAATAGATGCACCGGATAGCTTTAGCCAGTGTCATAAGCGAGCCTTTTGACCATTTGATCTAGATGAGATATCTCCGAGTATATTATTTTTAGTATTTTTTTTTTTTTTTTTATTACCATTCATGTGAACATGAATCAGGGGTACTTTTATCTTTTTATTTTATATTGAATTTTTTATATATATATTTTTTAGGTGTTACGCTATATGTGTAAAAATAATAATAAATAAAATAACATTTAGATATGACATTATGATTGAGGCAATCTTAACCATCCATTCAGATCAGCTGCCTAGGAGATAGGTGACATCTATGAATTCCCTATACGTAGTGGCATATAAAAAGCTCAGCCTTTAAGTATTAAATATCTTCATCATATCTTTTAATATTTGTATTTTTTATGGGATTGTGTACATTGATATTATCATCTTTTGCCCATCGTGGTAACAAATACTGCAAATTGTCTAATCTAAACTTATACAGTTGATGGGCGTCTTTTCTACGAACAAGTTTAAAGAAAAAAAGAAAAAAAAAGAATGTCAAGATTTTTTTTTTTTTAATGTTAAATAAAGCTTGAGAAATTGAATTGCATATAAGCAAGAGGAAAAGAAAAATAAAAGGAAAAAGAAAAGATAAAGAAAGATCAGAGTAGGTGAATAAGAATAAGGCAGTATGGCCTTCTTCACCAAAGTGTATGGTTTCCTTCTCTATTGATATGGCTGAAGATGACCACCTTCACCGTCTTTTGAAGTAAAAATTACATCTCGTCCGTCATATCGGCCCATATCCAAGGGGTTAGATGGATTTTTTGGCACTGGCTAATCACATTAGTAGAGTCATAATCACTTGATTATGGTGCTTTTGTAACCTGTCTACACCACGTTTAATAGCCCATAATTTGGATTCATTAGCTTCATAGGGGTGCAGCAGTCCTTGGTAGGACCAAATCACCTTTCCACTGCTATCCCTTAGAAGTGCCCCAAACCATGCCCTCTTGCATCATTTCTAATACGACCATCAAAATTCAGTTTAACTCACTCCTCTAGTAGTGAGCGCCACAACAATGTTTTCAAAGCCCTAGTCCTGGTCCCTTGAGAAAGAGTATATCTTCGTAGTTGTTGAGAAAAAACACCTTTGATACCTCTTTAAATTCCTCCTGCACTCAGCGCACTAATAGTGGTCATCATAGTAGCTTGCAAGTCTTATGCATCTTGACTCCTTCCTTAAAAATTAATAGATGCCAGCATATAGTTGTCACTCATAGGCCACAAAACATTATGCCCTTTGTAGTGAAAGGGAATACTATAAGTTATCAACCAAGCGGTGCACCGATGGCGGCCTAACTTAATCCCAATTAGTGTTTCCCATCTGCCATTCCCAAAGTCTCCTAAAAAACAGACAGAGATATAAGTAGGCATTAGTCTCTGCCTTACAAAGGAGTCAAACATTTGCAAGGATCATTCCCCTTTTGTGTAATTGTTCAACAGAGGGTTCTTATCTGGCCCAAGCAACCATAGAAAGGATCTTACCATGTGAATAATTTTGAGAGACCCGATGCTAGTTACTTCAGGTTTTGTATTGAAGTATCTATCTCGGCTTATATGAGTGTATAAGGACCTCATTAAGAAGTTATCATGCAGGCTTAGCTCCCACACAAACCTATCCTCCTTGCCTAGGCAGTAGAAATGGTGATAGAGCGTACTATTTATGGTTAAAAAACTGTTGCTCTACCACTATGTCCACTCCTCTATGTCTTGGGTTTACATCCCAAACTACCCTACTTGCTTCTACCGTTACGACATCCTTTAAAGAAGTTATTTTGTTGACGACCTTTAGGTAAGTTCCTGGAACTGAATAGAGAGGGCAGTCCCCTATCCATTAACAAGTCCAGAATTTTGTTCTTGCCCCATCTCCGATAGAGATCCTACTGTAAGGAATGAAAATGTTTACAACATTGTTGATCCCTTTCCACACCACTGAGCCTGAGGCTCCATTAGGAATCTCCCTTGGGAACTAACCAGAGTCATCCTTTCCATACTGTACAGCACTGTATTCTAAAGTTGCTCTCGTCTTAGGGCAGCTCTCCACCACCATTTTTCCAAGAGAGCCTCATTAAAGTGTTTCACTCTGTGCACTCCGGTTCCTCCAAATCTTTCTAGTAGTGATGCAGGAAAATTTGAAAAACCAGTAAAACCAGCAAGAAAAAAATGCCACAATCAATAAATAGGAGAAACCTAGGGTTTCTTCCTTACTCCAAACTAGGGTTCTAAAATCCTAGATTTTTTTTTCTTTTTCAATTCTGAACATCATGTGGAATGACCGCCCCATATACCTCTTAAATAATAATATTTCAAAAAATACTAAAGCACAAAATTCCTAAAGATCTCCATTAGGTACTTGTGCTAGTATAATGCCATCCATGATTTGTTTATCCTTAATAAAAGCCGTTTGGGGCAGAGATAACCTCTTGTGTAACACTCCTGAACCTGTTGGCCATTACCATAGCGAACATCTTATTAGTAGAGAGCAGGCTTATAGGGCTGATGTCCTGGATTTATTGCACCGATTGTTTCTTTGGGATCACGACAAAATAAATGTGGAGTTTATGGCATTGAGCACCACTCTGTGAAGAACTCCCTGAAGTCTTCAAGACATTGGTAGATGGCCCACCCCATTGTTTTTTCTACAACTTGGAGCATGCTTAATGGTAAGTGGCCCGCAACTGATTTTAGCCCATATTGCAAAAGGTGAAAGTGAGCTTCATGGTTTTTCTAGAGAAATTTACGTTCGGATTAGGTTAAATTTACATAAATACATTTTGAACATAATTTTTGAAATTTTTCAGTTAGATCCTTTTTTTCCTTTTTTTTCCAGGTTTTAGCTCCGATTGATTGTTGGAAGCAACAAACTGTATTTTTGTTTTTTTTTAATTTGTTTTTGGTGGGTTTTGGGGTAGTTCAATGTGAATATTGGAAACGACAATGTTATTATTTGAGTTTCAATTTCGGTGGTCCTATGTCCGTAACGTCCGGCTGCTTTAATGTCAGGCTGCTTTTAAATTATAAAGAAAGAAATTGTGGGGTGAGATGTTATTAGCATAAAACTACCTCAACGGGATATTAGAAGGCCTTTTAGAATGGTGGTGTACGTTCCCTTTAAATATGAGTGTGGTTTGTACAAGGCTCTAAAAAATCAAAATAGGGTGCACTTTTAAATAGTGCTTCAATATGTTGTTTTAATATTATAAATTTTTATAATGGTCTGAAAATTTATTTTTAATTTTAATAATAAAATTTAAAGTTAAAAAATAGTATAGATCCAGCAAATTCATGAACACGTGAAAATCTTCAAAATTGATAGTCTAGATAATATATTACAAGATGTACTATTTTCAATAATTGAAAAACTTTTTTTTTTTCATATCCATACATCTTGTGAGATGATCGAATTGAGAGTTTTTCAATATCGAAACAACATTATTTAATAAAGTTTTGAGGTGCGCTTTAATTTGATTGTTTGGAGCCTCGCATTTATATAAACTTATTTCTTTAAATACTATAATGCCATTTTAGTCATATTTTAAGAAAACCACCGACTTGTCGGCTATTTCTGCCTGAGCGTCAAAAGGATCGCAAGCATATCTAGCAAACTGCTTGACATCAATCAATGGGAAATCCTTGTCCGTACACAAGGGAAAATATGTTAAGGTCCATATTTTTTCAAATAGCTCGTCTTTTGTACCCTTTTTTTTTTTTTTTAATAAATAAATTTACCTCTCTATTCAATATTACCAACATCGGACATATTTTAATTGTTTTATTTAATTTTCGTTGTAAGGTTGGGACCTTTGTTTTAGGGCACTTCAGGGTAGAGAGCGAGAGAATGTTATAACGTTATTTGATCTCTCATGCCTGGTTTTGCTTGGTTTACAACGTAGATGAGAGTTTGATCCATGACAAGGGATACCTTGACACAACCGTGGACTGGATACCAGGAATGCCAAATATTCGTCTTAGAGACCTACCCACCTTCATAAGAACCACCAATCTTCATGATTTCATTGTACAGTATTGCAAAGTGGAATGTCAAGAGGCTCTAAGGTCCTCAGCTCTGATTCTCAATACATTTTACGAGTTAGAGAAAGAGGTTCTCAATGCCGTGAAAGCCAGCTTTTTGTGCCCTATGTATGCACTCGGTCCCTTGATCTCGTTCAGTAATCACGAATCCAAAGATCAATTGAAGAACACATCAATGAGCTTATGGAATCAAGAGAGTGAATGCTTGGATTGGCTTGAGAAGCAAAAGCCTAGATCTGTTTTATTTGTGAGCTTTGGTAGCATGACAATTGTGACACCTCAAGAACTCAATGAATTTGCTTGGGGTCTTGCTAATTGTCTAACCCCCTTCATATGGATTATCAGAGAGGATCTGGTGAAGGGTGAAGGAGCAATTTTGTCAGAAGAGTTTACGAGAGAGACCAAGGAAAGAGGGTTCATCGCACGATGGTGCGATCAGGCACGAGTCCTTTCTCATGCTTCAGTAGGCGGGTTCTTTACCCACTGTGGTTGGAATTCTTGCATGGAGAGCATTTGCCATGGGGTTCCCATGATCTGTTGGCCTGTTTTTGCTGATCAACAGATGAATTGTAGGTACATTTGTCAAGAGTGGGGGATAGGCATGGAGATAGAAGGTGAGGTGAATAGAGAGAAGGTGGAAGCACTGGTTAAGGCTTTGATGAATGGAGAAAAGAGCAGGGAGATGAGGCTGAAAGCCATGGAATGGAAGGATGGATCAGAAAGAGCTGTGCAAATTGGTGGATCTTCTTACCTTGATTTTGAGAAGTTAATGAATGAAGTATTGCTTAAAGGCCAACCAATGGATGAGAGCTAGTCTTGTTCCCTATTGTTGTGCATATTTGAAGTAGGGAGACCATGTATGAGGTTGAACAAGCTGTCCTTCAGAATATGGGAGGAATATATGAGTTGCCAATGGTGAAGGGAGGGATAATATTATTGCAATCATCACCTTTCACAAAAAGTCATGATTAGCATAAATTTGACCGTTATTTATGTTGTGGTAAAAAAATGTCATATTTGTGCAGAGGTTTATGTCCCCAGATTTTTTTCAAATTTGGCCTTGGTCCGAAGTTGTAAACATCGGCCACATATTAAATTTATTTGTTTAATTTTATGATATTCATAGGTTAGTTTAATGTCAAAAATATCGAACATCAATTTTATAGACCGTTTGATGTTCCGAACATCAGATCGGCCTACATTTTTTAGTCGGTCCGAATCATTGTGAGGTCTAAACGCAGTCAGATATTAAAAACTTCAAAACTCCTTTGTAGTAACATGGTATGTGTCCGTTAATGTACATATATTAGCACAAGTAACATGGTTCCCTTAATATGTATCAATCAAGACCATTGGAGAATGTATTTGTAGTTGTTAACATGGCTCCCTTAACATGTTCCAATTAAGACCGATGAAGATTGTAGATGTATTTGTACTTGTAACATGGCTCCCTTAGCATGAACCAAATAAGATTTCCCCAAGTATTGCGCTGCAATATTAGAAACATTAGAAACATCAGACTGACTAAAAAATGGAGGTCGGTCATGGTTCGATGGTCTTGACATCGAATCAACCGACCTATGAATATCAAAAAAAAAAAAAGATTTAATATGGCGTCTGATGTTTAAAACATCCGGTCGGGGGCAAAAACTTAAAAAAAATCAAAAAAAAAAAGGAGTGAGGTCCTTCACGTGAATACTGCATATTTTTGGACCGTACCTTAATAAAGGCCAATAATTATTGACTTAATAAAATGAAAAACTTACTAGCTATATAT